TCTTTCTCAAGTTCCCTTCTATTGTTGATCTTCTTGAGAATTTCTGTCGAGTCGTCATGCTGTAGGTTTTTGTCATCCACGTCAACCACATACTTCATTTCCCTAGTATTAATAGCCTTACAAATTTCTGCAATTTCTTGTTTAGCACTTTCCTCGCTGCTAGATTGAGAAGACTCGTATTCATCATCAATTATTTTTGATGTTGATGGTGTTTCCCGCTGCGTTTTGTCTGTTGACGTGGTATCGTCATTCCTATAAGAATAATTTTATATTATTATCCTTTTAACTTACGGAAAGCACTTTGCACCTGTTTAATAATAGATTGTACCTTGTAAGTAGAGCGTTGTTGAGCAGTTTAGAAGCTCGTTTTCTTATGCGCTCTTGTAAAGCCTTGCAAGGGGACTTATCCTCGACCAAATACTGGTCTCCTGCTTCTCCCATCACTTCTGCGTGTCGTCTCATGTAGCTCAACACGCTTTTCCACTCTCTCCCCATGTATTTACAGCCTGAAGAATGAGAATATCCTCCAGTTCTGTATAATTTCTTCTTGCTTTTCTTTGTTTTTTCACGTTTTCCATCGTGTTCAATGTTCTTGTACGAATGATGAAAAGAGTGCCTTGCTAGCAAACGTGCCCACGTGCGCTAAGTGTGAATGTTATCAACCTTCTTGTGTTTCCTAATTGTGTTTGTGTTTTGTTGCCTAATTATGTTAATAATAATGCATACATTCTAAGTGCACGCACGCTTTGACAAGTTGTAGCAAATTATTTGCATATCTTCGCCTTTGTAAAAGTTTATAGGTATTTATTAAGTTCAAAACAAGTAATGGATGTTCCTCCTTTCCCAACCTTTGTTGTGATGACGCTGTGGTCTGTGGTTACAGTTGTAAAACTTGTACTCCAAAGATCACCACGCCTAGTTCCTCTATTTCCTACCCATGTTATAGGGAATCTGCTCATAGCACTTCTTATGCTGGTCTCTATAGTACCAACAGGGAGATTTAACCTCTTAGCCCGACTTCTTGGCAACCAGCTTCTTCACCGCGAAAACAATGGCATCGATATTTATCGTTTAGTACGGAGCTACCCACGCGTTTTTTAGTACATGACCGGGGAAACACCAGAATCCTTTGATGCTATCATACGAAGAATAGCCACAGGGCGAAAATTTATCTTAACTTGCCTTTAATCAAGAGACTAAAGTTTGTAAAGGTGTCTTATACACCTTTAAGCAACAACTTAAACGTGATTAAATGAAAACCGTATTTAATGACGTTTAATAGTGCTATAAAGGTGAATAAAGGTATCACTTAACTTTAATTTACTTTAACATACAGTATAAAGGTGAATATATATGGATTTCC